ACACTTGTCTTAACAGATGTTAAAAGCAGAATGAAGATCGATGATGCAAGATGCAGCATTAAGACATGTGTCATACAGTTAACCTTAGACCAGCGTATTTAAACTGCCCTACATAACGTCCTTTCCATAAATTGAACACAAATAACTGTCTTCGAACATTTGCAGAATTTTTAGTTTTAAGAATTGCAAAGAAGGAAATTTAAGAGTAAAAGAGAGTGAAAATGCAGTCCGTGAAGGAAAAAGCTTCTAACGTGGCCGCTTCGGCAAAATCTGGCGTGGAAAAGACCAAAGCTGTTGTCCAAGAGAAGGTTTTTTATTCTTCTTTCCCCTTTCATTTCCATTAACGTCACAAAGCGTAAAATTGTACGTAATTTTTCTTGCAAAACATATTCATATTCTTAGGTTTGCAGTGATACTTTGGTATAATAACATTCAATAAAGTGAGTGAAAAATTAGGGGAGACTGGTGTTTAGATCTTAGTAAAAACAAAAACATTAGATAATTTGCCTAAATGTTGAATAATAGGGTTACATGGTACCTAGCTACCTGCATTAGTGAAACAGATTGTAGGTATACTCAAGAATTGTCAATGGTGCCAAAACATATCATGTTATGATTTCTGAGCAACGTGTTAATCCGAATTTAATATTTTCATGTTCTATCTGAATTCAGTATTTCTGTCGAGGAACATAACTATATATGTGAAAATCTACCAAAATTTTAATGTCAATGTTAGATTTGAACTTATAGAACGAGTGTCATGCTAAGAACCTTAAAGATCAAACATATCAAAGTTAAATTCTGAACTCGCCTCGATGTAGTAGTGTTCGTTCATCTTTGTTTAGAGTGTTACCATTTTACCGTAAGTTTTTCGTATTCAAACAGGTAGAGAGAATGACATCCCATGATCCAACACAGAAGGAGATGGCAACAGGAAAGAAGGAAGAAAGGATCAACCAAGCAGAGATGAACAAGCAGGCAACTCACGACCGCAATACAGCTATTCACCAGGGCGGGGGCACGGGCACAGGCCGGCCACATTATTCCAACTCGACTACTGGAGCCACTGGACACTCAACTGGTTCACACCAGATGTCTGCCTTGCCAGGACACGGCACTGGGGAGCCAATGGGTCAAGTGACAGACGGGGTGGTGCAATCTCACCCCATTGGAACGGCCACTGGGACTCAAAGGGCCTCCGCTGCACATAACACCCATGTAGGTGGTGGGGTAAACCAGGGCTATGGCACTGGTGGTAACTATAGTTAGGATATATATGATCTGAATAAGCTAGAAATGTTTGGCTCTAAGCCTTTAATTTGTTGTTTAAGGACATTTGGTTTTGGTGCTTCGTGTTTGGTGTTTGATAAAGAACTCATGTTCTATTGGTTTATTCTCTGTCTCAAGAAATACAAACTGGTTAAGTTTGTTCGATGTTCTGATTGATCCAATTGGTAGTTTTGTTCTTTCTACTTTTTCTTTTTAACTAATAGTAAGTATTCTAATCATGTAGTGGTGTTATAAACGTTGATAAGCACGGGTATATTTCAAGTGGTCGTGCTGAGTACTAGTTGGTATATGATGCTGAGCACGAGTAGATTTGTGCAGAGTATGGGTATTGTGAGATGCACTGTGGTAGTGGATGTGTGGCAAGATGTGTACAACTGGTTGCCAAGCTAGATGCCAACAAGGATATTTAAGTTAGTTGTGATTAGTTAGGAAATGTAGTTAGTTGGTTAATCAAGTTGTTAGTCGGTTAGGACATTATATATATATATATATATATATATATATATACGCGTGTCAGTGGCAATAAATGGTGGGATTTCCATTTCTTCTTCTGCAATTACTCTCTTTTTCTTCTTCTTCTCAGAATGTTCTAGAGCTAGCATTGAAGCTCAGAACTGCAAAATAATCTTAGCATTTTAGCATGGTATCACAGCGATCGATTGCCAAATAGAAATTCGAAGTTTACGATTACAGATTAGCAGTGAAGAAATTGAGTCGAAGTTTGCTCAATTTGCTCAACTATGGCGGACAAACTTACCTACACTCATCCCCTATTCATGAACCCAGGAGATACACCTGGTACAATGCTGATTCTTGTGAAACTTACTGGATCGGATAATTATGGAATGTGGAGCAGATCAATGCACATTGCGCTCATGGCGAAGAGGAAATTAGGGTTAGTAACTGGTACTTGTAAGCGAGAATCCTTTAATAAGGAGTTGCATGAGCAATAGGACACATGCAATGCAATAGTCCTTTCATGGATCATGACACAGTGTTAGTCGACCTCCTCAGTGGCATTGTGTATGCATCTGACTCACACGCCGTCTTGAAGGACTTGCAGGAACGATTTGACAAGGTCAATCGCATGAGGATCTTTCAAATTCACCGGCAAATTGCGACTCTGTCACAAGGTATTAATTTAGTCTCTGTGTATTTCTCCAAATTGAAGGAGTTGTGGGCTGATTATGATGCAGTGGTACCTCCACCCGGTTGTGATTGTGCTAAGTCCAAAGATTACATTGAACACGTCTACCAACAGAGGTTACTGTAGTTTCTTAGTGGTTTAGATGATTCGTACGACCAAGCTAGAAGGCAAATTTTGTTGAAAATTACTGTGCCCACACTTAATCAAGCTTATGCCATGATAGTTGAGGATAAAAGCCAACACTCTGTGGGTTTGAATATGTCTGCTGAGAAAGCAGATCCAATGGCTATGCAGATGAATTGTGGACAGGCTTATAAAGGCAAGAGGTCCTTTATAGTGTGTGAATATTGCAACATGAAGGGGCATTCAAAGGAGAATTGTTATAAACTAGTTGGATACCCTGATGATTTCAAGCAAAGGAAGAAAGGACCTTATGGAAATAGAAATGTTGCTTATGGAAATGGAAATACTGCAGGTCAAGCTGAGTATAGAGGTCCAGCTAGATATGGAGGACAACTTGGGAATGGTAGACAACCATTTTCTGCTGTTAATATGCCTCCAGCAACATAGAAAAGCAGACACAAGTATAACACAGCCTTGAAGGGTTTTTAGAAGGAAAATTTCCTCACTTCACTGAGGAACAGTACAATCATATTCTCAACTTGTTGAACTTGGATGCAGGGGAAAATACTGAGGTTAACATGACACGTAATGCCATAAATTGATTTTTGCCAAGGTTAATCAATGATGAATGGATTGTTGATTCAAGAGCATCACATCATGTAGTGTCAAACAAAGATCGATTAGAACCAGGTCATTTCTCACAATCACACACATGTGACAAAGTACACTTACCTACAGGAGCTAAGGTAAATATAACACATACTGGTCAAGCTTCTCTATTTGATAACAAGAGAATTACAAATGCGCTAGTTATCCCAGACTTTAAGTACAATTTGCTATCTGTATCAAAACTGACCAAGGAGGTGTTCAGTAGCCTTTTTTCCTCACTTCAGCATCTTTTAGGAGTTTCATAGTGGTTGGGTGAAGGGGATTGGTAGAGAAAGAGGTGGTCTTTACATCTTCAAGAAGGGACTTGGTATTAAAGAAGACACTAGACACAGAATAATGGCAATAGCCTACAAGGAGGACTGCAGCTTGTGGCACAAGAGGCTGGGTCACCCTTCCTTGTCAGCAATGAAGCATATGAAAATTGTACATAGCAATGTAGATAGTACTTCGATAAATAAGTGTTTAGTGTGTTCCTTAGCAAAACAGACTAGATTGGTGTTCCCTACTAGTAATTCAAGAGATGATTCTATATTTTTCCTTGTACACATGGACCTTTGGGACCTTATGAAACACCAACCTTTGACAAGAAGTACTACTTTTTAACTGTGGTGGATGATTATAGTAGATACACATAGATTTACTTGTTGCAGCTTAAGATTGAAGTTATAGTTAGTATTAAGTCTTTCCTTGCCATGGTTAAGACTCAGTTTGGGGTCATGGTGAAAGTGACCAGGACTGATAATGGCACAGAATTCTTCAATTTACAATGCAATTCATTGTTTCAAGATCTGGGATAGTTCATCAGAGTAGTTATGTGCATACACCCCAAAACAATGGGGCGGTAGAGAGGAATCAAGACACATTCTTAACATAGCCAGAGCATTGAGATTCCAATCTAGAATTCTAATTAAATACTGGGGTATTTGCATTCAATCTGCAGTATATTTGATGAACAGACTGAGTTCTGTTGTGATTCAAGGGAGAAGTCCCTATGAGCTTCTGTACAAGAAGAAGACTTCTTTAACACATCTGAGAATTATTGGATGTCTATGTTATTCAACAAATGTTGCCAAAGGAGACAAGTTTGGATAAAGGGCTAGAGCTGCAGTATTGATGGGATATTCAGAGACTCAGAAGGGCTACATACTACTGGACCTTCACACACACCAGTTTTGTAAATAGAGATGTCATATTCAAAGAAACTGAATTTCCTTTTTCCAAGTCATCCATGATAGCTCAGGCCAAACACCACGACATTCATGCTCCTTTGGAGCAGAACAACTTGTTTGATGACTATTTTGCAGGTGAGGAATAGCCTAATGGCAGTGCTGATCAAGAACCTGATATTGTAGAACATGAATATGTCATTGAAGAACATGTTGAATGGTAGAATATCAGTAGTGCAGAACAAGAACTCTCACCTACTAATGAATAACAGTTGCAGATACAGATCCATCCCTTGAAGAGTTGCAGGTCTAGGAGGGTGAAGTAATGACATATGATCAACCTACAATCATCAAGAAATCTGCCAGAACAAGCAAGCAACCCATTTGGATGAAGGATTATGTAGTCCAAAGTGGCAAAGCTGGCAACAAACATCCCATTTCCAATCACATGTTGTATGATAAGATTACACCAACATATCACAGGTATCTTGCCAAGTTCTCCACCTTAATTGAACCTCAGACTTTTAAGGAGGCAATCAAGGATGAAAGATAGGTAGAAGCTATAAAGCAAGAAATTAAAGCCTTAGAAGAAAACTAGACTTGGGAGGTGGTGACTATTCCTAAGGTTAAGAACATAGTTGGTTCAAAATGGGTATACAAAATCAAATACCAGGTCAATGGTGAGGTTGAAAGGTTTAAGGCAAGGTTAGTTGCAAAGGCTACAGTCAAAGAGAAGGATTGGATTATCATGACACCTTCTCTCCTGTGGTCAAAATGGTTATAGTGAGGACAATGATTGCAATAGCAGTCTCCAAGAGCTGGAACTTATATCAAATGGATATGTATAATGCCTTCTTGCAAGGTGTTATATGAAGATGCAGAAGGATTCAGGAGATAGGGGAGAAAAAAGTTTGCAGATTGCTTAAATCCTTATATGGGCTGAAACAAGCATATGGGCTGAAACAAGCATCTAGGCAATAGAATATTAAACTAACGGATGCATTAGTGGAAGCAAGCTTCATGCAAAGAAGCTATGACTATTCACTATTTACATTAAAAAGGGGACAAGATGTGGTGATTGTTCTAGTGTATGTGGATGATTTACTCAACACTGGAAGTAGTACTGAGCTGATATATAAAGCTAAAGGGGTGCTGCACCAAAAGTTCAAATTGAAAGACCTAGGAGAGCTTAGTTACTTTTTTGGCATAGAAGTTTTGAGGTCTAAGTCAAGTGTCATCTTAATTCAAAGAAATTATGTCCTAGGGTTAGTCTCTGATCTAGGCCTGAGTGGTGCTAGGGTGGGTAACACACCTTTGGAATCCAATCTAAAACTAACAACTATGGAATATGATAAGGCAATTGGGATCAAAGGTGATGAAATATTAGAAGACATCAACAAATACCAGAAGTTAATTAGTAGACTAATATATGTTACCATCACAAGACCTGATATCAATTATGCAGTCCTGACCCTCAGTCAGTTGATGCAAACACCAAATAAATCTCATTGGGAGGCTGCAACAAGGTTGGTCAGATATCTAAAAGGTACAGCAGGTCAAGGAATTTGGTTGTAGGCTACAGAAGCTAGTGAGTTGACCTGTTGGTGTGATTTAGATTGTGCATCATGCTCAAATACACGAAGGTTAGTGATAGGGTATGTCGTGAAGCTTGGTGATTCTTTGATCTCTTGGAAATCAAAGAAACAACAAACAGTATCTAGGAGTTCAGTAGAGGCAGAATACAGAAGCATGTCTTTAGCAATAACATAAATTACTTGGCTACTGAGATTATGCAAGGAGCTGGGAATTGCAGTTAGAGAACCTGTAGTTGTGCATACTGACAGCAAGGCTGCTATGCAAATAGCAGCCAATCCGATCTTTCATGAAAAGACAAAACATATAGACATTGATTGCCATTTTATTAGAGACAAAATTAAAGGTGGAATGATCAGCCTGTATATGTTCCTACAAGGGATCAACTAGCAGAACTTTTAACTAAGGGGTTAGGTCATGCAGCACATGTTCACCTATTAAGCAAGCTGGGAGTGTTGAACATTTTGCACCCTCCAGCTTGAGGGGGAGTATTACGAGATGCACTGTGGTAGTAGATGTGTGGCAAGTTGTGTACAACTGGTTGCCAAGCTGGATGCCAACAAGGATAATTTAATCTAGTTGTAATTAGTTAAGAGATATAGTTAGTTGGTTAATCAAGTTGTTACTTGGTTAGGACATTTTGTATATATGCGCGTGTCAGTAGCAATGAAATGGTGGGATTTCCATTTCTCCTTTTGCAATTACTCTCTCTTCTTTATCTTCTTCTCATAATGTTCTTGAGCATTGAAGCTCATAATTGCGACAAAATCTTAGCATTTTAGCAAAAGGTAAGTTCTAAGTGCCCGTTCACAGCTCAAATAGGTACTAAGTGGTTCTACTGAGCATGAGCAAGTAGCAAGTAGTCATGATGAACACGATTAGGTTCCAAAACCATGTTGAGCACGGTAATATTCAAGTGGTGTTCTGAGCACGGTAAGATTAAAAATGATTGTGGTAATCACAATTAAGTTCGAAGTGGGTTCAAAGTAGCTGATGAGCATGAGTAGGTTCAACTAGCCGTGCTGAGCACATGTAGGTAACAATTTAGGTTCATTTAACGGCAGTTCGGTTTATCTCTTCATATATTAATGAACTTAAGGGGCAGTTTAGCTTAAGTTAATAGCCGTTTAAGTGAATTCAGTGATAATTTGCGAATTTTGAAGCAGTTTTTACTACACTTTCAAATATTAAAGAATATAATAGTATTTTAGGTGCATTAAGCACAATTTGATTTGCTAAAAATCAATTGTTTACCGATACAGGAGTATCGACGGACTTATCTAGATCGCTATTCCGAGGGGCTTTTCTTTAGAGTCTCTCGGTACATTTGAACATTTTAATTTTCAATCTTTTTAAAAGCTTTTTGACAGATAGATCTGGATAAATAACGGTACTTTGACCGGTCAAAATTTAATTGGTAATAATGTTGAACTCTGTCGGTAACTTATTGAGGGACTCTCTCGCTACTTAAGGTATAATTATTTTTGAATTATATTTTTATGGTATCCATGGTCTCTGTCGTGTATCTAAAAAAATAAATGAAAAAAAAAATAAAATGTACCGACGGACTCAACGCTATTGCATTTATAATTATTTTGGATTTTGATTTTAAAATACTGATGGTCATTGTTGGTGTATTAACAAAAAACAAATAGAAAATACATTGTGTCAACTGGAGTCTTTCGCTAATACATAGTACACAATTATTTTTGTATTTTGTTTTACTTCACTGATAGACTTCTGTTGGCAATATAAATATATAATTTTTATATATAATTATCTTGCCTTTTATAAATAAATAACAACGAGGGAGACCATCGATAAGTACCCAGATAAGTGCTTACATAGGTATGTTAGGGATTGGTTAGCCTATTCATTAATAATTACACTAAGTTGCACAGTATTCATGATAATTACACTAATTAGAAGTATATTAGTGCTAATTAACTTATAAATTAATAATTGTACTAAGTAAAAGTAAACTAATGGTATAATTAAGTGATACAAGACGACGAGAGTACTAATTTGTTATAGCGGATTAAATTAAATTGATAGTGTAAAAAACATTTAGTGCGTTCAAATGTGTATAGTTTAAATTTTTATATTTATATCTTAACTTTTGTTGAACAGGCGGAGAAATTGACGATACGTGATCTAGTGCAAAAACAAATGGCTACTGAGAAAAAAGAAGAGAGGATCCATCAAGTGGAGATGGATAAGCTGGCGGCGCAGGAGCAGAACGCGGCCTCGAGACAAGCAGCTGCCACCGGAGGAACTACTGCTTATATTGCTAGCGGCGGTGGTGTGGCTCCGGGTCACACCACCGGGGCCTATGGGACCACTACCGCGGATACTGGGACAACAACGGGCGTGGTTGGGTCACAGTACCCACCGAGGACCACTACTGGAACCGGAAGTGCTACGGTTCAAGGTCCTAAAACTGGTGGACGTCATGGATCTACCACCGGTTCTGCCTTTTAATTAGGATGGGAGGTGCTTTTGGAGTAATTGAAATGAGTGAGTACTAGCTAAGAATAGTTAATAGTGTGTTTTTATTTTTCCTTGTTTTGGTAAATAAGTTGCAAAATTAGTTTGTTGTGATCATGTCATGTGTCTATATTATGTAATACAATACACGATAATAGTTAGGAATAGGAAGATTGTTCGTGCTTTGGATTATTTGTGATTGGGTGTCCGAGCACAACAACAATGAAATAAAAAAGTAAGAAGATAAGATTGTATTGAGCTTTGTATAGAATGTAGCGTTAGTTTGCTAGAAAATTCGTGTCATTTACAATGACAACTGAACTCATTATTTATAACTATGAAGGAAGTCCTAGGATCGTGCCCTTCTTTAATGTCCATTATGAGGGAAATTGATGAAGACGTAACGGTGAACATAAATGCCAAATACCCTATAATAGGTAATTGATCTTAATGCCACGGAATATTCCCTATTAAATGCTACCGGGCGAAGAACATTTATCACATTTTTATGAACGTTATTCTTTCCGGTGACAAACGAAACTGTTGCCTTAGATCTTTGGCCATCCCCCGTCTTGGGTTCCACGTGTCCCTTTTTTGAACAGCCACGTATCATAGCATATTTTAACCTATACAAATAGCCACCCTACTTTTCAGTGACATAACTTTGTGTTAACGGAAAGTTGGTAAAAATACTATTTTGGCGGGAATGACTATAATTCCCTTCTGAAGGCTTCTGACGGTTGATTAGACGCATGTCTCTCCGCATTTAATGCCTCGAACACGCATCATCCTATGATTCAGCACAACCTTTGTCGATTATCGAGGTAATCATGGCCATGAATTTAGCCGCCAAAACTTTTACTTATACGTATCAACCTTCTCCCTTATACTTCATAATTTTTCAAGCTTCCCTTATCTAACTTGCATCTTGCTCTTCATCTTTTCTCTAATTCTCTTCAAACAAAAAACCTTCTCTTTTTTCTATACAATGGCTTCTTCCTCAAAGTGTACCGGTTTTTCAAAGAGCAAGAACAAGGCCGAGGTCTCTGCTCCTCCTACAGTGGGATCCATCATCCCTAGAAGTCTTATTACCATAAAAGACTTCGAAGAGAAATTCCCCACTGCTAACTCTCGTACATGGGTCGTCAGTAGGTACCCTTCTTCCATACGTCCTTCTAGCATTCCTGCTGTGAAGGAAGACTGTCGCTGCCATGACTTGGATATTATTGCTCTTGATCTATCGGAGTGAGTCACTCTACCCAAGGAGGGTTTTACATATTTTTACACATATCCCTTTACTTTGGATGCGTTCTCTATGAACGGAGAGCATGACTCCGTGATTACGGATTTTTGCCTCCGGTACCAAGTGTGTTTGGCATAAGTAAGTTCTTCTGTGTGGAGGACAGTTACTTGCCTTTGGTGTTTTTGCCAGGAGAATGGAGAGGAGCTAACCTTAGCTCATATGATAAATATCTATTCTCCCAAAATCTTCCGTGGGGGAATGATAAACCTCTACAAACGTGGCCGCCATGCTTTGTTGTCTGGCATGAATGATGACAACGACCAAGGGTGTATGAAACGGTTCTTTGCAGCTGCCACCAATGACATCATTCCGGCAATAGCTCCATCCTTTCCGGCCACTTGGAACCGCACTTGTAAGCTCTTTGTTTAGTATTTCCTTTTACTAAATATTTTTCTATAGTCGTATTGATCCTCTATCCTTCGCATGGTTCAGCAACTAGATGGATCCCACCGGTGGTTGAAGGTTTGGATCGGTGGGTACAAAAGATCCTGGATGTTACGACGCTCGAGACTCGCTTGTGGAAAGAACTGGCCCCTAAATACGGGTGGAAGGCCAAGAATCATGGTAATTCAAACTCACCTTGTTTTAATTTTTCATGTGAAGAACTTGATTGATCCTTTCTAACCTGTCTATGAAATTAAGTCTACCCGTGGGATCTGTTATTGTTCTCAAGAAGGATGTCTTGGTTGATCCTCATGATGTTGCGAGGCTGCTTCAGGAGGCACTTACTCAAACAGGTGTCTCCAGGCCTGCTTCCGGAATGTTTCTTTATGTAGTCCCCAGCCGGAAGACAAACAACCAAAGAGAAGATGCTCATCCGTAGCCGGGGAAAAGAATAAGAGGGCGAGGACCGATGCCCCCGAGTCATCTTCGGTAGTGATGGTGACTGGCCCTCCTTCTAGGCCGCTCATAGACACTGTGACGATCCACGATGATGAAGAAGCTAGTGATGAGGGAGCTTCTCTACATAGAAGACGACGATCCTCCTCATCTCAACAGGATGCTCGACCTATTGAAATAGTTACACCAACAGAAGACGATGCCTCGACACTTTGGGGAGAGTTTGATTTGGTAGATAATGTTAACTTCCGTTTTCGGGCCCCAATTGTTCTGCCCGCGACTGTAGGGCAGAGTACCGGGTCCTTGCCATCTTTGATTGGCGAGCATCCAACAACCATCACGGCATTTGATGTAGTTGTTTCTCATTCTTCAACTCCATCAACTTTATCTCTATCTTCACCAACACCAGCAACTGCTACATCACTTCTATCTTCATCCACTCTTTCACCAGCAATTGCTACATCATCTCCTCCGGCCACACCTGACCATGTAGAAGATGTTCCTCTTCCACAGTCCCCAATACATGGGAATATGGGGCAAAATTAGCTGCCCCTTCTGAAGATCCACAAAAGAGGAGGAATGTTACAAAAGTGGAGCTTGCTAATTATCTGAAGCCTTTAGCTTCAGAAAAAGACTCGAAAAAGATTCAAGCATTCTCGTGAGAGTGTTTGTTGAACAACGTCATGCACAACGCCGCAGGAGCAAAATGTCGCTCGCCTTTCAGAACTAAAAGCCAAAGCTACTGAGGCTATTGTATTAGAGTCTCGTTTGCGGCAAAGCGAGCAAGAAGTGGAATCCTTAGCCAATAAATTGGGCCGCTGAGGGTTAGATTTGACAAAGCCAGGTCCAAATGGGCTGAAGTCCATAATGTCGTTCTTGCTGCAACCGAACGCGACGCTGCCTCCGCTGAAAGAGTGATTAACTTAGAGGCAGCATTGAAATCTAAAATTGAAGAGCTTGCTGCTACGGGGGCGAAACACGCCCAGCTGGAAGAGAAGTACAGGAAATATGTCGAGCATAATAGGCTTTTTAGTTCAACTATTCGTGACCTTGATGTTAGCCTCAATTCTTCTAGGTCCATCCGGGAAAACCTTTCTACTGAGGTAACCCAACTCAAAGAAGAACTTAAGCGCTGAGTGGCTTCCCTCGTTGTTGAGAAAACTTATGATATGCATAACATGAGGAGAAAAACCTTGAAGAGGCCAAAACTGGTGTCATTGATTTTGATGCCGAAATTCCTAAGGCCCGTGAACTTGAGTTAGATGCTAAAAATGGACTCCCAATGAGGTCTGATGCACTTGGTCCTTCTGGTTTTGGTTCCGAGTTCTCGAAAACTGAAGAAGAATTGGAGGATGATGATGCTGAAGGCCAAACTGGTGAAAATGTTGAGCCATCGGTGGGTCCGTCTACTTCTCCCAGGGGCGCGGACACTTCTCTTCCTGGTTCCGGAGATACTGCAGTTTAGGTTTTCTTTTCTTTTTCCAATTCTTGTACCTGTTCCATTTTGACATATTTTTGTAAATAAAAACATCTCTTGCTCAAGTATTGTTTGAGTCTTCCTTTCGTTTGAATATTCATGCAAGTCTTTAATCTTTGCATTTTCTTCCTTTTTCTTAAGAATTTTGCGCAAGCTTTTCTGTTTTGCGTTTTATTATGTGAAGCCTTAGGTGTATTCTCCCCGAAAGAATTTTTGGCTATGGGCATCAGCCCTTTTTCGTGAGGGCTTTGATAAGTATTTGCGCAAGTTTACTTCTTGCGTCCTTTTGTATACGACTTCGGGTGTATCTTTCCCCAAAGGCATTTTTGATTCCAGACATAAATTCTTCCGGAACCAACCCTTTAACGTGAGGGTTTTTATAAGAGAGAGCCCTCTTATGTTTATGGTGCTCTTGAAGAGGACGTATCTTGTTTATTACGTCACTAGCATTTAAAGTACTTGTTCAACTTTCAAATGACAAAGTTAATTCATCGTTCAGACAAGAAACAAGATAAAAATAAAAGGATTTCATTTTATTCCTTCTATTTTCAAAAAGTACATAAGCATTTGCTATCTTGAAAACAAATTGCCATTACTTGTGGCTAACTTGTACAACTTGTTTCTATGGGGCTGGCCGCGCAGTCCCCAGTCCCGATGATGTAAATATATTTTTGGTTTTTCATTTCCCGGTCGGCGTTGTAGTCATTTTTGTTGTATCCTCATATCATTCCCCCATCCCCCCAGTGTTCGAATGCGAGGAGTGCGAATTGGAACACTGGAAGTCTTGTATCTTCGAAGATTTCACTAATGCATTGCTGGACAATCCTTAACTTTGTAACACACTTTACTTCCCCTTAGGAATTTATGCTATCGAGCGAAGGACTATCTAACAACCCTCTAGTGGTTTGTGCTCGTGAGCGATCAGGTAAACTTTCCTCAATATCAAACTTAACTTCCCGTTGGGAATTTGCTATAGAGCAAAAGATTATCTAACCATCCCCGAGTAGATCTTTTCTTGTGTGCCTTGATATTAAAGGTCTTATTGTTGCTGTCTTTGTAGTATGCTTTCTGTTGTTGCCTTGTTAAAAACCTTGCCAGAAAAAACCAATTGGGACAAAAACTGAACGAAGGAAAAAAAGTGCAGCACATACTTTCTAATTGGATAATGTTCATCAGCAATAATATCTTTTGAGGTGTGGCACATTCCAATTACTGGGCAACTTTTCTCCATTTTGGTTTTCCAACTCGTATGAACCTTTCCCAGCAATAGCTGAAACCCGGTATGGGCCTTCCCATATTGGATATAGCTTCCTTGCGTTGAGCTCCCAGGTGTTTTGAGCTACTTTCCTTAGGACCAAGTCTCCTACTTTGAAA